CATAATGTTTTTCTTAATTCTCCAGGCTCATAAGATTCTAAACTGGAAATAAGCTCAAAAAACTCGTTACTTTTGTCAGGATTTGGATGTTTAGTGTTGTATTCTTTTATTTTTTTTTTAAAGTTATTATTCCTAAAAGTTGAGTCAATAACTTCAACACATGACTGGTTGTTAAGATTGTTGGTTGATGAAGTTTTATCTAAATCATCAAGATCTTGTAAAAGAAATAAACAATACCAACATAATCTCAATATTGCGTTTTGATCTTTAGTTAAATTATTAACATGTCCCGTAATATAAGAATCCGGCTGTTCAGTACTTATAAAGGTTGAATCACTCATAAATATGATTTAATTCTTTTATTAAATATACGCATTATACCAAATTTGGTAAAAAAATTTTAATATATCACAGGATATCAGGAAATGGCGGAGGGATTTAGGAAAGAGCATAGGGATTTAAAAAAATATTTGTAATGTTTTTTAATTAATGATAATAAGAATGTTTTTTTATTTAGAAATAATCAATAATAATAGTAGCAGACAGTTGCAGCAGAATACCGCAAACTTCATAGATAGGTCAGTAACAAAAATTCCTGTTTGTTATATGATTGATCCAGACCAAAATTAAGTTTAATATATAACTTGACCCTAAGGTTTGAAATAATGTTAGAAAAGAACATAATTTGACCCATAATATATACTAACATCAAAATTTTTGAAAATGTCTATTATAACAATAATAATTCACTGATTTTTATAATTTATAATATTTATAATTTTTTTTTAATATAAAAGATTTACTATAAAGTATTGGTTGAATGAGCATGTAAGAAAAAATCTTGTTACACAAAATTTTTGGTTCGTTGAATACTAATAGATTTGGCCCCTATTAAACCTAACCAACCTTTTGATGTGTATAATAATTTTTATAACTATGTAATATTTCAAATAATAAAATTTTTTATTGCGGGGCTTGTAATTTAAACCGTAGATTCTATTTCGTTCGTTCCTTTATATTTTCCTTCGCCTGGACCATATGCTTCACCATCATAAAAAGTTTTTACCTATATAAAAAAAATATTTTCGAAAAACTTCATTACTTTAAGAAGTGTGTTTTGATCTACCTGATTCATATAAACTTTTTGGTTTACGAATCATCAAATCTTCTCTATTATTCAATTTAAGTTTTTTAAGTTCTGAATACACATGATCAATTGATTCACACAACTTTTGTTCACGATTAAGAAGAACAACAACGTTGTTATTAAAACAAATATCAATGTTCGTAAATGTTTATTCATGATTGAATATTTCCTTATTTCTGTGTGTATAGAATGTGTTGATTATATAATAAACGACTTTCAAATTTAATGTTAATGTTTTTAGTGCATCAAAATAATTCTTAAAACAGACCAGTTTCGGGCGGATTAAGTGTTAACCTGAAATTTGGATCGGTCTCTGATCTGATATTACATTTGCATTAATTAATACTAAGAAAGTAAGCAATATGCATATGAAAATTTATATTCTAATTAAAGATTTTATTTTGAGATGATAAGATTTAGATAAGTTTAAATGAATTTTTTGTGTTTATCACATAAGATTTGTTCCCCAAATTTTATTAATTAAATATAAATAAAAAAACAGTTATACTACTAGTTAATATACATGTCGTTAAAATGAAAGCAATGCTTGTGATGTTGTGCGTGACGTAAAGACACAATCTTGTGATCCAAGGCGTAATTCATGACTCAGGAGGTAATTTATGACGCAAGACGTGATTCAAGACACAAAACAAATTCGTAATGTGTGTATGAATTAATTCAAACTTTTAGCCACATGTAAACTTTTTATTTATTACATGGAAACTTTAGAGGGGTTTGAATGTAACATAATCAGAAAATTCTTAATTGTCATGAAACATGCTTGCGCCACGAATTGGGTCTTACATCTTTATAAGTTATAAATAATTTTGACCACAAGTATAATTGGTACAACTCAATAAAACTCGAAACCGGACCAAAAATTTTCGGGCTCCCGGGCCATTCGGAATTTTAATTATTCTTATTCTATATTCTTAATATTTTTTAATATTAATATTAAGGGTAGAGTATACGTTACAATTTTTTCGAGACAAAGTTAAAAGTGGTGTGGTTAACAAACAACCTTTGAATATTAATTAAAAAACATTTTTATGACCATATAAATATGTTAGAATGATAAAATATTTCAATATTTACTAAAAAAAAAATTTGCTAATTCTGATAACTATTTGATGATATTTTGGCACCCACATAATATTACATATGACGGTTAAGTTTTCTTATACCACAAGGATTTTTTTGTAGAAGACAATCTTTTTAAGGAAATATTTTTCTACTAATAAACTAATTCTCCGCGTTCATATCTAGTAGCTATTGAATTGCTAGAATCTTCTGCATATTCAGGAATTTGAGGTAAGCCTTGTTCTTTTACATCTTTGTTTTTTTTTACCTTCAAAATATGTAAACATTTATTTGTAAAAAGAAATAATAATAATTTAGTCAATTGGCCATGAATTAGACAACAACACTACTCGTTTGTTATAATTTAATATTTTAACAAATAAATAAATATTAGTTAATGATAATAATTGGTAAATAATAATAAAGCTTTCACCAATTACCTCTTTGTATATATATATGTACCGTATAGTCCCGAAATATAGCACTCCTATTTTAAAATTATTTGTTACACGATATAAATGAAGGATGCTATCTTTCGAGACTATACGGTACGGTATATACTTGCAATAAAAATTTTACCTGAAACGTAATTTTTTCCTATCTGTCAAACAATATTAACTGTTGATTGAAACATTTCACAAACACCAAAAAGTTCATCATCAAGAATATGACCTTCTATAATTAATATATTAAAAACACTGATGATAACTTACCAAATCAATTTAGATGCCCAATATGAGTCAATTCCTGATGGTATATAACACTCCTGGTTTATTCCTTACTCAACCCTGGAAACTTAAAAATTTTGATCCAACCGGATGGTTGATTCTGAAAAATTAGACGGTGTAAAAGTTTTCTGGAATGCAAAATGTGGTAAATTTTTATATATTCTATCAGATTATTTGTTTTTTAAAATTCTATTATCATGGTTGATGATGATGGTGGTGATGATGATGATGGGTTGATGGGGTTTCGAATTATTCGTAATACAATTCAATCTTAATTCGAATTATTCACAGCTTGATGCAACAGATTCTATATTTGTTGTTGTTGTTATTGTTAAGGGATTTTAACTATTTGTAAAATTATAGATAAGATAATATAAATTACAATAGTTATAGTTATATTCATAATCTATATTACTACTATTAAAAAAAATGTCATTATCACTATATACAAGGAATATTTTTAATTGGATTGGATTGGCAATGTGCATATTAGTTTTATTCGAATTGTTTTTTATTATTATTATTATTATATATTATTATTATTATTATTATTATTATTATTATTATTATTATTATAACTAGAGTGATGATGAGTGGCGACCACTACCA